GGCTTTAGGTCACCATAAAAATATAATTTTTGCTCTTTGCAATAGCTATTGGTTCTCACTTAGCCTCAAAAAAAAGATGACAACTTTTAGATGGACAAATGGATCACCAACCAGCCTCATGTATCTATAAAAGAAGTACACTCTTTAGTAAATGCTAATAACACTAAGTTAGAAGGAAATCATGCTACCTTATGTGCACTAAATTGCCAAAAAGGTCAAAAATATAACTTCTGAAATATTCCTCTCTTTCTCTACTTTTTACTCTCTGATCACACTATTTCTATAGCATTTAAGGAATGAAATTTGATTATAGGTTTAGAAGGGTAGAGGACTTTCTTGCATAAACCAGGGGCAAGAAAGAAACCAAATTTCAAACTACCAGAGATCTTAGGAATTAGAAAAAGGCAAATTAATCTTCAACATCCAAAAATCTCTAGATGACATTGGCCTGGGAAAGTCCGGCAGGTTGACAAAAAGAGGAATTGAAGAGAGATCATCCAAACTACATAAACTATGGGATCAGACAAAGAATTATCTTATTGACAAATCTAATTTAAAATTGCATCCATTGAATTACTTCATACTTCTTGATGTTACCATAATGCTTTCAATTTTCATTCAAGAATTTAACGCTCTTCTTTGGCACACACAAAAAAGCTTTCTACCTCCTCTTAAGGTTCTTAGATTTAAAGGGGACTCAAATGTACTTGTTAAAAGGCTTCTAAGAAGAGGAGATGCAACAAATCCAAATACACTGATTCTGCACAGAAGCCTCCTGGGGCATGTGCAATCTTCTGAACTGCAAAAATCACCTACAGAGGTGGCATCAGACAGTGACCATTACTTAACAAAGAGGGCAATTACTCAGTGCCTACCTGGCAAATGTCTATCAGTGGCAAGAGAGGGCATGACTACAGAAAAAAACATTTGTTGTCCCTGCTCCCTTCATGGCCTGAAAGCTCAAATTTCCATACTGATAGTGAAACATTTAGTTTACTCAACACAGTAATTTGAAAGTAATTCTGAAAATTATGAGTTATGTTTATAAATCTCAGAACTTATTTTGATAAGGAATTTTATCTCTGTTCATAGGGGACCTAGATGCAGATTATCAACACTTTTAAAATAATGTGCTGCAGAAAACATGCTTGGTTCAGTTATCTTTTCATAAGCGTGCATACAAATGCATTGGCCAAACACATTTTCCATGTTCCACACTCTATTGAAATAAATTACACATTCATGGAAAGAAAAAATTCAGGTAACAACAAAACTCTGAAGTGGTGAGATGACTGGAAAGCATTTCTGGGAAATGCCCCCTGCTTACAGAACTCTCATGACAGTGGTTTGTCAATGTCAGAATTAGTAAGGATCAGAACAAAATTCAAGATGTACTTGTTGAAGTGAGACTTTCATTTCATCATTTATATGATAGAGATAGCTCCTAATGAGTGAATTATGTAGCTCTGCAGAGAAATATAATGGGATATGATTTCAGAGTGGAAAAAAGTCTTGCAGGTCACCTCTTCCATCTTTCTGCTAATGCAAGTCTCTTTCCAAAATCTCAAGTGAGTCAGTTCTGCCCAGATTAAATTTTATGCATAGCAAGCACTGGCCCCAGACACATTTTCTGGAGGGACTATTCTCCTTGATGTACTGTTCTCCTCACTTAGTCCTGCCACCAAGATCTTGCTCAACATATTCCATATATGTAGTTTCTCAAAGCGAAATCACCCACTTAAGGAGCCACAACCCATTCTTAGCCATTCTGGTGGAAAGAGTTTGTTTCTCACTACACCTAGAAATCCCACAAATTTTGAGACACTTTCAGACAGGTCCTTAAAGGAGGGATCTCTATTAAAGACCTAAGAGGGTTGCTTGTAGGAGTCATTGCTGACGTACTCTGGCTGACATTAACTGCTGAAAAAATGGGAACTAGGCATCAAGATTCAAGAATCTTGAATGCCAAAGCTCCCCAGAAAGTATTTACACTATATTGGTAAATTTCTCCTCATTCTTACAGCATAAATTTTAGCAAATTTTTATTCATATCTGACAATTTACACTGAAGAAAATGCTACTCTGCTACCAGTTTTGCCCCAAGCTACTGATTCATAATTAGGGATTGATTTCCAGAGATGCTGAGCACATGCAGTTTTCCAGCAGAGTTTGAGTAAGCAATAGGGCTTAATATTTCTCAAACACAAATCGCTTACTCATAAGCTGTTGCCAAGGGAATCCTGCCTGAGCACTTGGGAAAAAAAGTATATAATGCACTCTCTGTACAGTTCTTCTAGCCAGTTACTCCATGGAAAAGGGTGCAGCAAGATGTATGAGAGAGAATAAGGGAGAAAATTCCTGAAAAAAACAAATTTTCATAGAGGGATTTGAAGCTAGGCATGTAAAATTAGTAGGCAGTAAACCCTAGAGATAAAATTACATTAAAATTTTCAATATGTGAAAAACATGATACACGACTGCAATTAGGTTTTGTGCACTTTGCATTCTTTAGCACCAGGGTCCTGCACATGGGTTGGGGCAATGCCCAGTACCAATACAGGCTGGGGGACAAAGGAATTGAAAGTAGCCCTGCCAAGAAGAACTTGGGGGTACTGGTGGATGAAAAGCTGGACATGAGCTGGCAATGTGCACTCGCAGCCCAGAAGACCAACTGTATCCTGGGCTGCATCAAAAGAAGCATAGCCAGCAGGTTGAAGGAGGTGATTCTGCTCTTCTAACTCCATTCTGGTGAGACCCCACCTGGAGTATTGTGTCCAGTTCCAGGGCTCTTAACACAGGAAAGACATGGACCTGTTGGAGTGGGTCCAGAGGAGGGCCACAAAAGAAGACCAGAGGGATGGAACACCTCTCCGCTGGGAAAAGTCTGAGAGAGTTGGAGTTGCTCAGCCTGGCTTCAGGGAGACCTTATTGCAGCCTTTCAAAGGGGTCTTATAAGGAAGATGGGCACAAATCTTTTAGCAAGGCCTGTTGTGTTAGATCAAGGGGTAATAGTTTTAAACTAAAAAGAGTAGATTTATACTAGATATAAGTAAGAAATATGTTTTAGCAAATTTTTATTCATATCTGACAATTTACACTGAAGAAAATGCTACTCTGCTACCAGTTTTGCCCCAAGCTACTGATTCATAATTAGGGATTGATTTCCAGAGATGCTGAGCACATGCAGTTTTCCAGCAGAGTTTGAGTAAGCAATAGGGCTTAATATTTCTCAAACACAAATCGCTTACTCATAAGCTGTTGCCAAGGGAATCCTGCCTGAGCACTTGGGAAAAAAAGTATATAATGCACTCTCTGTACAGTTCTTCTAGCCAGTTACTCCATGGAAAAGGGTGCAGCAAGATGTATGAGAGAGAATAAGGGAGAAAATTCCTGAAAAAAACAAATTTTCATAGAGGGATTTGAAGCTAGGCATGTAAAATTAGTAGGCAGTAAACCCTAGAGATAAAATTACATTAAAATTTTCAATATGTGAAAAACATGATACACGACTGCAATTAGGTTTTGTGCACTTTGCATTCTTTAGCACCAGGGTCCTGCACATGGGTTGGGGCAATGCCCAGTACCAATACAGGCTGGGGGACAAAGGAATTGAAAGTAGCCCTGCCAAGAAGAACTTGGGGGTACTGGTGGATGAAAAGCTGGACATGAGCTGGCAATGTGCACTCGCAGCCCAGAAGACCAACTGTATCCTGGGCTGCATCAAAAGAAGCATAGCCAGCAGGTTGAAGGAGGTGATTCTGCTCTTCTAACTCCATTCTGGTGAGACCCCACCTGGAGTATTGTGTCCAGTTCCAGGGCTCTTAACACAGGAAAGACATGGACCTGTTGGAGTGGGTCCAGAGGAGGGCCACAAAAGAAGACCAGAGGGATGGAACACCTCTCCGCTGGGAAAAGTCTGAGAGAGTTGGAGTTGCTCAGCCTGGCTTCAGGGAGACCTTATTGCAGCCTTTCAAAGGGGTCTTATAAGGAAGATGGGCACAAATCTTTTAGCAAGGCCTGTTGTGTTAGATCAAGGGGTAATAGTTTTAAACTAAAAAGAGTAGATTTATACTAGATATAAGTAAGAAACTCTTTCAATTCCACAGTCACAAATACAAGCTGACCCTGTCCAAGTTTTTTTTTTTTTCACTTGAAACTTTCTCACTGTATTCGGTGATACCTTCTACAGGTATCATCAATTGAACTTTCCTTCCCCAAAACAATTAATTTTAGTTAAGTAACTTTTCCCAGTATCACAGCAGAAGACATAGTCCATATTCGGTTTCATTGGTAACGATACCAAACTCTTTCCAAAGAAAATGAAAGCTTGACTCTAGGCAAGGAAAATAGATATAATTTTGTAGTAAAGCAAAAAAAGTGTGATTATGGAGTTCTCACGGTTTAATTGGAAGTCTTTTGACATTTGACATTCTTTCTCAAAGTTTAGCTCTCAAAGGCAGTTGTTACGTAAAATTCTTTTTTTAAAATTTTGTTTCAGATGGATTTTGACAAACAACTCAGACAAATGTTGTTTAGACAGTGTATGACTCCCACAGCTCAAAGCCAACAATACCTAACCTTTATGTACATTAAAAATAGCTTGGAAATATGACCAGAGTGAAATTGAAAGGCTTAGTGAGCAAAAAAGCAGATAAAAGAAAAAGAGTTTTAAAAAGGTATTTTTAGCTATGTTGATAATTTTGGTTGTGTGATTCATACCTTGGTAAACCTTTGAGATGGCTATACTCAAATACAGGTATCTTCTGATTCAAGAAATCAGGCACAACAAATCTATTAATTGAAAACCCCAAACTGAGCGTACACACATCTGCAGCCTTCAACAGTAGAATGATATAAACCATAGATCCTGCAAAAAAGGATGGTGGACCCATGGGCCCAAATACGTGGCCCTAAAGCCCTTTTACTTGTTCCCAGGCTACCCCAACACTCCCCAGAGGCTGACATTTATCAGTGGCCAAAGCGGTCCCACTGGCACTCACCACCGGCCGGTGCACATCCCAGAATGCTCGTTCCTGGCTGTCAAGAATCTTCCTCTCTATCTTGTCTCTCTTTTTGTCCACTCTGTCAATGTCATAGGATATTTAAAAGAAATGGTGTTAATGACAGTAATTTGAAACATAAGAAGTGCCCAATCACTTTTCCCTCCCCATCTGCTTTCAAAAAGCATGCAAAACCAAACCTCTTCATCTTCAAAGGAACTTACTTTGCTTGTGCTTCAGCTTGCATAAAAATAAACTCCCATTTCCGAGCAAATGCTCGCTGTAGCCTGGCCAAACTCTCCTGAAAATACATCATAATTTTAGTGAGTTAGGTTGTAAGTTATTTATAGCTTTTAGGGTATCTTTCCCTCCTCCCCTTGAATCCCCCAGGATGTAATACATGTTGTAATATCTGTGCCAGTGTAAATGTATGTTACTTATCTGATATACAAGTCTTTGCTTGACACCAAATGGGATGGAATACTAGATCTATCCACTTTTGAATGTCTCAGCTATTTTAGCTTTGAAATTCTGTCAATATGGGTGGATGCGATCTTCAGAACATGGGATTTCTGAAGCATTTTTATATACTGGCTGAGTAATTTTGTAATAATATGAAGAAACAGTCTTGTTTTGAAAGTACCTAATACTGAGAGATAACAGCAGTGCTTTCCATACTGGATGATCCACATGACAATTCCCATCAGTCTTCTATAAAAACAGTTTGCATTGAACAATGTTGGCTACCTATCAATTTATTTAAAATGCAATAAAAAGAAGCTATTAATATTTTGGTAGTATAGGACTCTTCCAAGAACTCCACAGCTATCCTCATTTTTTAAAAATGCAGACTATAGTTGTTCACTACTGTATAGGAGATGTATAAATCCTACAGCTTACTAATAATAACAGGAAGAAGATTTGTAAAAGCTTAGCAAAATTCTTTCCTCTAGTGATGGTGGAAGAGCTTCACTGTCTGTAACAACCTCTGATTTTCCAATCTCTCTGGCTTAAATGGCAGCAGTGAGCATTCTGTTAATATGGAGAAGGCTGAGGTTCTTATCTTCCTCCAAAAATACCCCAGTTATGTTTGTGTGTTGCTTTTACTGAGACTAAGAGAAAAATTGCCTGTAAACTTCCTAACAAAAAGTGTTGCTTTATCTGTATTTCTATGCATTGCAAATGTAACTCGATGTCATACTTACTGAAAATAAATACTGTAGAGAATGAAGAGGAGACTTTCTAGAGATCTTGTCAATACCAGTAAAGGCTCTCATGGACTGTATACTGGAGATGAATTTTCTAAGGCATGTAAGTATAAAATTATGCATACCCCACAGTGCAGTACACTGAAAAGCAAGCTTGTGCCAGAAGAAGCAATAAAGTGTGTCAGCATGGTGCTGCGGCTGGAGTATTTGGCATGTTGAGAGGCCTGGCTGACTATCCTGCTATCATGTCACAATAGCACAGCTGGGCAGCTTTCAGCGCAGAGCCAGGCCTGTGCATGAATTTTATGTTGACATTTTCATGAAAAATTCAGGAACTTTGGGGGGGATATAGATGGAATTCAAGATCTCTCTCTCCTTAGCTGGTGCCATCCTCATCAGCTAATCAAACTCCTCCTTTTTCTATCGTTTCCCGACCCCAATTATCTTACCTTGCCTGGGGCACCACGCAACTTTCAGGAAGTGGGAAATGCCTCCAGTCTGACTCTCTGCATCTCGTCTAACTGACGGAGAAGGACTCAAGCACCAGCATCACTTTTAGAGAATGAGATTTATATTTCTACAGCTACCAATTGCTTTTGAAAATGTTGCCAGAGATCCTTCATTCAAACCTTACATGGTGTAGAGTACGATTGCTTTCAAACACTCTTAGCATATCTGGGATTTGGGAACAGTTCTTTCTGATCCTGGCACAATGATCTGAGCACTGAGATTAGAGATAGACCAAAACCTCAACTTTTGCCCAGCGAGTCTTCACTACTGTCTCTCAACAGCATTTATGACTACTGAGCACTGTCAGACCCACATGCAGGCAAAAGTGGATAACTAATAAATTTTAACATATGATGCCTATCTCCTGCTTAACATTATTTCATACGCTCATTAGGCCAAGCAGAGAAATTTACTTTTCCCCAGGTACTTACAGCTTCGTAGTCTGCTAGCTCTAGTCTTGCTTTGTTTTGCATTGTCCGCTTGCAGAGGTAAACAGCTGGAACAGAATGAAATAACACAGAATTTGCTACTATCTCGCAAACGCAGCAGACCAGAAATCTAGAGGTTTCCCTGCTATTTCACTGCTAGCTTTTTTTGCTTTGATTTCTCCCTCTATTCTAAAACGCTTTTAATAAGGGATCAATGCTAACAGTATTGTAACTAAAATGATGGGTCAGACACAGAGATTCATTAAATAATTATAAAATGTGCTTTATGCAACAGAATTCCTATACAAAATGCATGAGATACTTGGGGTGAGGTTGTTTAATGGCCAGGGAACTAGCACATAAAAGAAAAAATGGCAAAAAATATTTTTAAACTGTGTATGTATAACTTGTAATGCATAAGAGTTTTATCAGATGCTGCTGCTATATTAGTCACGTATAGATGGGTTTATTTATTTTTACTTTATATTTAGAAATCACAAAATTTCAACCTCATATAAATATATAAAAAATAGTCAAATAAACCTTCAAATAAACCTGGATTTTAGCCAAAAAATAATTCCAGATAAAATTCAAGTCTCATTCAGTATAGTTCTGGTATAACCAATATTTTAAAAAGAAAATACTGTGAGACCAAAAAAATGAAATAAATTGTACTATGTATTAAAGAGAAAAAAATATTCTTTCATTTGTTTTCTAAATCCAAAATCCTTCAGCTGTTCTGCCTCTACCTTACTTGGACAGAGCAGAATATTAAGTAATAAAATGGAATACTGACAGCTAAATATTGAAAGGATGCAGGGAATAAATGAAAATTAAGGCTACATAAACAGCACAGTTGCTTGACCCTGAATTCTTAATGCACTCCAGTACCCTTGAATGAAGTACATTTCCAATAGACTATTTAGCAACAAATACTTCACATCTACTCTGAATACTGTACAGCTTCCCTCACCGGTAAGAGGAGTGCAGCACGATTCTTTTATTGTGAATTATATACCCACTTTATTACTTCAGAGCGCCTTATCTGTGAGATGGAGGAATCATTTGATGAGTGTAGGTAAGAAAACTTGAACTGTGGTTTAACTAGTCAAACTAGTCAGCAAAAAGGGTCCATATTTACCAGTTGTGATTGGGAATGTTCCTGCATCCTAACTGCCAGCTTGTCCACTACAGGAGCAAAGAGGAATAACTTCATATAGGAATCTAACTCTTGCAACCACCAGGAAGAAGGAAGTGCTCATCTTATATTTAGCTTTAAATTTTAAAGTAGTCAAACAAATTCTATTTTACAACTCCATGGAAGCATTTATTTCTGACAAGTCACCTGCAAATGCATGCAAACCCAGTTTTCAGTGGATGCTATTTCAGTGGAACTGATGACAAGCACTTCTAGAAACTCCTGCTGCAGTTACAGTTGTTACTTGATGTAAAATGAAGTTATATTTTAATGTACTTTTTGTCTAAGTTTTCCTCATTTTTTGGTGTTATCTAGTCTATCTTCTTTCACATTTTTTCTCTTTCCACTCCCGTAAGAAGCCATGACCTCTTCCTCTATTCCCTGCAGTCCCATATCCCCTCTGGTTCCAAAGCAATGTCTGTATCTACAAAATCTACAAATACAGATACAAATCCATGTCACACACCAAGTATAGCAGGCAAACAGTCTCTATAGCCTCAGTTTCCATACATTCTAATATTAGCATACACTTAAATACTGCATTGGCATGCATACTTAAATGTCACAGGAAAACGAGGAAAGGAATTTTGGACCCTTTGTACCCACGTTGCATCCACAATCAGTACAGTGATGCGAGAATACTGAGGAGAGAGATGGTCTTTTGTAATTTAGCTTCTTTTACAGTGAAGCATTTTCTTTTCTTTTCCTTCAAAATAAGTTATTGCATTGAAAAAGAAAAAAAATATCCCTAAACCCCTTGAAAGTATTAGAAATAAAATACATATTTAACAGAAATGTATAGATAGTTTTATGAATTCCACAGGTAAAATTTTGTGTAGTCCAACCAGTCTTCTACCATCTGAACAGAAATAAAACAAACTCCCTGTTCTCTGCACTTGTTCAATCCATTGGTAAACCATAATATTATGGTCCCTATATAGGCACCTTTAGTTAGTTTAGCACTTCCTTTAGTCCCATTAAGGGTATATTTTGAGATTAGCATCTCCTACTACCTCCAACAAAAGTCATTGCTGCAGAGGTGGCTGACTGTCCATCTTTCTGTCAGGACAGGTTTTAGTAAAAAAACATCATCAGATCACAGAGTTCTCAACACTGGCAAAACAAAGGCAGGTCACAACGAGCAGGAGAGAGGAATTAGCTTGCCACACTTTTAATCTAATACTGTATCTAAGAAAACCCTTGTCTTCACTGTGTGACTGTGCTGCAGTATTGTCCCTGCAGGGTTCTTTTAATGATCCTTTTTACTCCAACTTCATAGCAAATAGTCCATATAAAAATGCTTGTTTTTCACTATGAGCGTATCTTAGCCAAGACTCAAAAAGCCATGTTCACCCCTCAGACCTTTTTTCTTTGGGATAACCAGATGCCCTCCCCTTCAGGAGCATAAAGGTTACAATACCCGTGGCTTGGATTCTTTATGTCAGAGATGTTTCCATGTGACAGTGTGGATAAGGCAGAACACACCCAAGAAAGATTTAGTCATTTGGGAAATATGACATATCCCCTAGTATAGAAGAAAATAGACCTGAAGGACAGTCCTATGCTTTGACTCAATTTACTGCCATTGGTGTGTGCTAACAGTTACATCCTTACTATAGAAGTCCATGTTTGAGGATCTAGTTAAGAGTTACTTGTAGTCACACAAGAAGTTGGCAGCAACTCGGGAATTTGAGTTCAGCAGTTCACACTCTCATTATCATATTCATTGGCTTGCCTGTAACAAAATTCACTGGCATGTCGCAAAGCAAGAACAATGTGAAAATCACTCTCATTTTTAGCCAGAACATTTGAAGACACAGAGAAATGAGGTTTTGTTCTGACTTTTAGAGCAATGGTATCTGAAATACGGATGCTCCAATCTTTTGCAGGTACCACTCCTTTTCTGCACCAAAACACATGTGAAGTAACTGCATGTGTCCAGTAGCCTGACCTTGAGCATCTGGGGAGGATGTCAGTCAGTTTCATCTCAAACCAGAGTCATAAGCCCTGAGCATTTCAGAGAATGACAGTGTCTGCTTTTCTAATCCCATGGTTTCTATGAGTTGTCAGTGTTTTTACAGTTTACAGAAGTACAATCTGCAGGAAGGGTCTCCAACTGAAAGCTCCTCTATTTCTTTATATAGTTCCCTGTTTACCTACCACCCAAAGGTCCCGGTCAGGGGTCTCAGTACACTGAGGAGCTGTAATTGCCCTGTGTCTCCAGTGAAGTCCATGGCACCCAGGTGCTGTGCTGAAGTCCAACTTCTTCCCCAGGCCTCTGCTTGAGCTTCCTTGTGGAGATGCCTCTAACCAGCCCTGTAACTTACCAATGCTGCCTTGGCTTCCTGGCTTGACCTTGGACCTTCCTGGTCACTTGAGACTTTGTCAGTGAAGACATTGCTCCCGCCTCCACCGTTGCCACCCTCTGCTCTTGCTTCCCATCCCTTGCAGAGCTGCCCGCTCTTGCAGTTCCCTGACAAGAGTGCTGAAAAATGCTTTACATATGGATGAATGATATGCAAGGAACAGGGTCTGATTAATAACCTCAATTTGCTAAATATGGACTGCCACATACACCTTTATTTTTAGAGCCAGTGTATTCTGGTGGATTTCGCAATCAACGTAATTACCTCCACTAAAGTGAATTATATGTTAGATGCTATAGCTTGTGCTTCAGAAGTGAGTGACTATCATGAGAAAAAAGATTTGCCAATAATTTCAGAGGCAGTATCAATACCCAACATTTCATAATGAAAGACGGGCAGTGATGTTTATAAATGGGCATTTGGACCACAAACCAGTACTAAGACACACTATGGTAGCTGTGCAGTAAATACAGAGACTGCTTGCTCTTTAAAATTTTGTTCAGGCATTCACAAAACTTGGGCATTGTGTCAGCTTAAAGTGAGACTGCAAAGTGTTCTAGTGACAGTTGCATGAAAAGGGTGTCTGGGTTTTCCCTCTTCCAAGTTTTTAAACCGTTACACCCAAAATAGTCCATTTTCATGGTTAGCTACATTTGTTTCCTATTCTTGACTGTTCACTTGTACTTGAAACCTCCTAAGAAATCTCTATAGATATTTTTCTTTAAATAAGATCATAGTGATAATGACAGGTTTCATTCTAGAATTAAGAAACTGGACTGCATACACATTATACTACACACATTTGCTGAAAAAAAAAAAAAAATCACAACAGAGCTTTCAACCAAAAGTTAAAGTGGGGAATTTAAGCGTGTTGGTAAACAGGAGTTAAATCTTCCCTCTCACCACAGCAGAGAAAAAGCCTCGGCTAAATTCAATGGAAGTACAACTGGGCCTCTGAAGACCACAGATAAAGCCACCTACACATCCACCACCATGTACACAAACTTAAACTCCTTACATAATTGTCCCAGTGCCAGTGGTGTTACAGCTTGATTCAGCCCCAGATGGTGGGCGTAACTTTCAGTGAACGCTCATTATCTCCACTGAAGCCAGATTAAATTTATAATGTCTGTGAGTCAAAATTCTGGTTTCAGAGTCAGTGTATATATGCCTAATCAGTTTTTAAAGAGCAAAGAAATACTGCAAGGTCTAAGGGTCTCAAAGTGCTCTGTGGGCAGGAAGAAGCTATCATTCCATATGCAAGTGCCTGTGTCAGATGGAAAATTATGGTACAACTGGCACAGAACATGACTGCAGGATGGAGAAAATGAAATCAACTATCTTATTTAAACACCAGGATTTCTAGGGCTTTAGGTCACCATAAAAATATAATTTTTGCTCTTTGCAATAGCTATTGGTTCTCACTTAGCCTCAAAAAAAAGATGACAACTTTTAGATGGACAAATGGATCACCAACCAGCCTCATGTATCTATAAAAGAAGTA